ACAACACTAAAAAAAAAAAAAAAAAAGTTCTATACAATTTTTCTTTCTATAATTCAATAAAAATGTTTTCTAAAAATATTCCACACTCAAATACCCTAAAATTATTTATACACATATATACACAGATGAATACTGCAAACATTTGAAATTTTATAATAATAAATTAGATATAAAAATAATATAATTAAATTAGATTACAAATGAAATTAAATAAAAAGAATAATAAAATTAAATAAAAATGTATGATTACAATTTCTGTAAATTAGTTTAAATTGTCTGTTTCAATCTCTAAGCATCATCATTCTTAAACTAAAATGTAGTATCAATATTACATAAATTATAATGCATTGCTATTTTGGAGATAAAAATTATTTAAGATCATTCTTTCTTGAGTTCATTTAGTGATAAACATGGTTCCGAGGCAGCTTTACAGAAAATAAATAAATAAATACTTTAAATAATTCTTACTGAATCTTACTGCTGCTTAAGAAACATTGCTATTATTATAAATGGCAAAAACATTTTTGTGAATTCATATATATATAATGAAAGTCTGTTCATAAGAACAATCAAAAATAAAAATCTTTCGTAACATTATAATGTCTTCACTGCACATACACAAGACCCTTACCCTCTGTGCAAGTCGGCATCTCCTGCAGGGCCTGTACCATGTGGCTAAGGCTGGAGGGGTTCCAGCGTAGCAGTTTGGGCAGGAAGTAGTCAAGTATATAAGTTGTTTGATCCAATCGAGCTGTGCACAGTACTTGCAGCAGAGGCCTCACCCAAACTTCATGCCACCCATCTATCCAGACATCCCCATCCCTAAACCGGGCACATAACTGGGCTTTATGGCTGACAAACAACTTCTCCAGAAGGTCGCTGGCGTATGGTGCCATCGTCTGATCCCCCATCAGACCCAGCAGTCTGGATGGCAGTCCACCATCAAGCTTGAGTAGATACTCTGCTCCTAAGTGCTCCACCATGCAGGCCAGTGTGCCGTACTTCCATTTCATATGCCACTCCAGTGCTAGAAGGTCCCGGGAGAGCTGGGTGATGTAAGGGTCGCTGGTGGGATCGGACTTGTGGTCGCTGCAGTGCTGGTGGAGCGTGAGGAGGCTCTGGAACATGGAGCGCGTCTGGTGGCGAACTCCATCTAGCGGGTGCTCCCAGTGGGCATAAATGTGGTGGTGAAGGCGTGCGATTAGAGGAGAGCCTCCAACCAGAGACAAGCGAAGAAGAGGGGGATACATGTCCACCTGGACGCAGTCAACCGCAGCTCCACTCCAAAGTGTCAAAACTCGAGCCACTACCATCACCGTACTGGACTCCTTCACTCTGAGAGAGAGATTCATGTCAGAGAGTAGTTCAAATGGAAATCCAAGCTGATCAACTTCAAAATTAACTAAAAACAGCAGTACAATGTGAATTAGGGGATGAATTTAGAGATAAAACTTATTTGAGAGTAAAACAAAATGTGAAAAAAATGCATTATTTAATTACTTTCATTTTGCTTTCTCACAACAGATATTGAGAAATCATGGATATTTTTTCCCAATGACAGTCATTTTTACCTATATTACATGTGAAGAGAAAATACTACTTTGAAATGAGACCTTTTTACCTTGTAACATAAAAACGGTTGGTAAAAAAAAATAAAAAAAGTTTTTAACATGGTTTATATTGTGTCTTTCTAGGGAGTTTCTTATTTCCTGTCACTTTTTATCTTGCTCTGTAAATATTTGCAATATTTACTGTAATGCAGCTTCAGAATTTTTTATTGTGAAAAACTCTGCACAAAAGAATGACAAATATACACTACCGTTTCTCAGTATTTTTCTAAATTCTTTTAATACTTTCAATACTTTCAACTGTCAGCAAGGATGATTTAAATTGATCAAAAGTGACAGTGAAGATATTTATATTACAAAAGTTAAAAATGCTGTTCTTTGAACTAGAATATTATACATCAAAGAACATTCTTTAAAAAAAAACAGTTTACACAATAAATATCAAGCAGCACAACTCTTTCCAGCAGTTGATGATAACTGATAATAAGAAAATTTATAATAGAAATTTTTTCCAGCATATTATAATGATTTATGAAGGATCATGTGACACTGAAGACTGGAGTAATGATGCTGAAAATTCAGTTTTGCATCACACATTTTAAAATTAATTAAAATAGAAAACAGCTATTTTAAATTGTAATAAAATTTCACATTAATGTTTTTTCTGTATTTTTGATCAAATAAATGCAACCTTGGTGAGCATAAGAGACTTCTTTCAGAAACTTTTTTTAATCTTACAGATTCCGAACTTTTAAAAGATAGTACCGGTATATAAAAAAATGAATAGAAAATGTTTTTTGTTCAACTTTTGCATGTTCTTTGTGTGAATGCGTTTGGTATTCAGTACCTTGTATCTAGAGACAGGAGCACTTCAGGTATGAGCAGCAGCAGTTTCTCAGCCTGTGGACCGAGAGTTCTTCCTCTCCAACTGAGCATAGCCAGAGCTCCTTGACTTAGATACAGAGCCACAGCTGCAGGCCTGCTGCTCTCATACAGACCTGCGCAGCTCTGTCTCAGCCATTGGGTGGCGATGCTGCCTGCATCCACCGAACACTGCAGGAGACCCTCAACCTAGAAACACATTTCCCACTTAACAGTGCTTCCACAGTCAGGAATAGGTTCAAATGCAGCTGAAGTTGAGACAGGGTACAGAATAAGCTTCTTCAGTGGTGGTGCTTGATGAGGCTATAGCCCCATAAGAAACTTGCTTAGCCCCGGCACAGCCCCCCCAAGGATTTCCTAATGATGTTCGTGGTTTTTGGTGTCACTTTCATTAACATTGAAAAATAAACATAAAAAAAAAGCCTAATATGTGGCCTATAAACAATTGATATTATGGGGGAGGGGTCAAGCAACACAAGCAAGCTACGCGCAAACTGTGCGCAAGAGTTATGCCGGTGAATGTCAGTAAATTCACTATAGAGAATGTGAAAGTAAAAAAAACTGACGGAGCTTTCTAACGCTGCATTAACGGCACATATTCTCTGAGACAACGAGAGACGAAACTACTTCAACATATATTCGACATACTATCATAACAAAATTAACAATTCGTCTAACTCTCGCATGCTCTTTAAAACACTGTCCTCCGTCCTTTGTCCTCCTCCTCCCCCTCCTTCATCAACTCTAACAGCTGACGACTTTGTCACATTCATCTTTAATAAAATTAAAACCATCAGTGCACAATTTTCCACACCACAATCTGTCAAGCACATCTTACCAGCAAACATACACTCGTTCACATCCTTCTCTTCACTCTCTGAGGCAGAAGTCTCCAAACTCATCCTTTCTAATCATCCTACTACTTGTCCGCTTGATCCTATTCCATCTCATCTTCTTCAAGCCATTTCTCCTACAGTTGTACCTGCACTCACTCACATCATTAACACATCCCTTTACACTGGTGTTTTTCCCTCAGCATTTAGACAGGCTCGTATAACCCCCTTACTTAAGAAACCCACCCTTAACCCATCTCTTTTAGAGAACTACAGACTGGTTTCCCTTCTTCCTTTCATTGCAAAAACACTTGAACGAGCTGTGTTCAACCAAGTCTCTGCCTTTCTCACACAGAACAACCTCCTCGACAGCAACCAGTCTGGTTTCAGAAGTAAGTAAGTAAGACTGGCAAGAGCGGATTCCAAATCTTCAATACATATCTTGCTGGATCTGTCCGCTGCATTTGACACGGTTAACCACCAGATCCTCCTGTCAAACCTATTGGCAAAAGGCATCTCAGGAACCACACTCCAGTGGTTTGAGTCTTATTTCTCAGATAGTTCCTTCAAGATATCTTGGAGAGGTGAGGTGTCATAACATCTAACTACTGGGGTGCCTCAGGGCTCAGTTCTTGGACCACTTCTCTTCTCCGTCTACATGGCATCACTAGGTTCTGTCATTCAGAAACATGGCTTTTCATATCACTGCTATGCTGATGACACTCAACTCTACCTCTCATTCCATCCTGATGATCCGACGATAGCTGCTCGCATCTCAGCTTGTCTAACAGACATTTCTTGCTGGATGAAAGACCATCACCTTCAACTCAACCTTGCCAAGACAGAACTGCTGAAACGGAAATTAACAGAATCGTTTCATCACAATTTCACCATCCAGTTAGGCTCATCAACCATAACTCCTTCAAAAACAGCCAGAAACCTTGGAGTTATGATTGATGATCAGCTGACTTTCTCAGACGACACTGCTAAAACTGGTCCTGAAGATTTGCTTTATTCAACATCAAGAAGATCAGGCCCTTTCTTTCGGAACATGCTTCACAACTCTTTGTTCAAGCTCTTGTTCTGTCCAGGCTGGACTATTGCAATGCTCTCTTGGTAGGTCTTCCAGTCGGTTCTTTCAAACCTTTACAATTAATCCAGAACGCGGCAGCAAGATACATTTTTAACGAGCCAAAAAGAATGCACATCACACCTCTGTTTATCAGTTCGCACTGGCTACCAATAGCTGCTCGCATAAAATTCAAGGCTTTAATGTTTGCCTACAAAACCACCACTGGCTCCGCACCCCTTTACCTAAATTCATTACTTCAAACTTATGCGCCCTCTAGAAGCTTGCGTTCTGCAAGTGAACGGTGCTTTATTGTGCCATCCCGAAGAGGCACAAACTCACTTTCTCAGACTTTTAACTTAAATGTTCCCTCCTGGTGGAATGACCTGCCCAACTCAGTCCGAGCAGCTGAGTCCTTAGCCATCTTCAAGAATCGGCTAAAAACATCTCTTCCATCTTTATTTGACCTTCTAACTCTAGCACTCTCTATTCTTTATAAAAAAAAAATTTAAAAAAACTTGTCCCTTTTAGACTTGGACTCTATTTATTTACTAACTGCTTGTTTTCTTTAAAAAAAAAACTAACACTTGCTTCTCTAATCTTTTTGCATTCTATCTATTTGTTTTCTTTTTATTTTACAATTATAATTCTGACTTTCTGATTTCTGATGACTTCTGATTAACAAAAGCAAAAAAAGGCCTCTAACACTAACTTTCTCTATTCTATCGGTTTTCTTTTTATTTATTATATGATTAAAAAAAAACCTTGCTACGTGTACTGCATTAAGCTACCTGAGACTTGTTATAGCACTTGCTTATCATTGCTCTTGTTTATTTTGATTGCTTCCATTGTCCTCATTTGTAAGTCACTTTGGATAAAAGTGTCTGCTAATTGTCTAAATGTAAATGTAAATATGCTGATAACGGTATATAACTGTCTTAAATTATTCCCTTAATATTTCTCTTGTGGCCCGTATTGTGAAAAACATGATAAGAAACGTATTTCGCGATAAACAAGCTGTTTTTGAAAATCGGTGCACGAAATAAAGCTGCTCTTAATTTTCATTTATGACTGCAGTGTTAATAATTTTAATTATATGCCCATAATTCATTACATAAATTAATAGACCTGTTTAAAAAAAAAAAAATGTAAAAACCACTTTCAATGAGGAGTAAGCTAATAGCCTAAACTTTAATTATTCTCACAGCGCGCCATGCGTTGATGCGCTATGAAATTATTGTGGGGCAATAATTTCATGTAATTCAATAATAAAACTACCCTAATAATAATAATAATAGACCTAATAATAAGAAGAATGTAACAGGCCTACATTAATAGGAAATGCTAAATCCTCTTAATATTGCCTATTTTTGATGCTTTTGACCATATCTCTGGCTATCGTCGACACATGATACGACGCATCTCAGCACGGGGAGGTTATCGCGGGGCCCCACCGTAGTGCGTGCCCGTCCGCTATGCCACTGTGTTGAAATATTTGTATGAATTGTTGTATGAATTGCACTTTATCTATTGTAAAAAATGGTTAGAATTTACCATGTTTTCCTGCCAGTTGGCACCGAGTGACTGACACTTGATGGTCAGAAAAAAAAATGACTAAATACATGTGTAAAAAATAAATAAATAAATAAATAAATACATAAAATAAAATAAAACAATAAAAAAGGAAAAAAATCCCTACTTTCTCTCTTGTCTATGTGCGTTTATAAATTGTATTAATTTGTAAGTGTCATATTTGGCAGTTGGCATTAGAAGTTATATTACTAATAACAGTGGCATATGAGAAATGTAATATACCACAGAAAAAATATATAAAATTTGCCTTTTTCGAAGCTGCTGTATAACACAAGGTGGCTGTATTTTCATGCTATTTAGATAGCTGAAGCTTATATCATTACTTTCACTCAATTTATTTAGTTTTTTTAGCACCCCCTCTGAACTGTTAAGCCACCACTTAGCACCCCCAACAAAAAAATCCTGGAGCCGCCACTGAGCTTCTTGCTTCTGGGATGAAGGGAACGCTCACTTACAGGTACATCATCTCCGTTCCCCATAATAGATCTAATGAGCAAAACAACAGCCATCCCAGCAGTGCTCTGGACCGTCTGAACAAACTCCTCTAAATGGGAAAAGAACTTAAATATAATACAAAATACATACAGAAATAAATGCAATATACAGTACAAAAAACTCAATGTCAAGTTACATCTGAAGAATACAGTGGTCTTACCATCAGTCAAGATACATGTATAGCAGTTGAGTAGTCCACTGAGAGCCTGACGTAGATCAGACTGATCATTTGAAGCTGAAAGCACTGCAGTACGGGTTCCTGAGATCTCTGAAACACCAGCATTGAGGCCTTCACCACTGCCAGACAGGACTGCATCAGCTGAGCCTGGGCCACATGACGACTGGCCAGACCCCTGAACAACACATCAAATGTCAACAACAATAAACCATGTTACAGATAAGAGAAAGAAACATGGTTACAAGAATTCTGGGTATTAGGAATTAGATGTCAACATTTTTGTCCATGCATACAGCACATTATACAATACAATACTGAACAGTTTACCTGTTCTGCTCCACATAATAATTCAAAGTCCACTGGAAGAACAGGAGGACTATGAGAGGAAAAAAAAAAAGTGACTGATTTTGCAGAATGGAGAAAGTCAAGATATGCCATTAAAGGATTTAACTTACTAACCTTCTGTTAGCAAACGAAGAACACATTTCTCGCCTGAAAATCAAGCAGAACAATTTTTAAATACAGTACATTACACTGCAAGCACTACCGCTTGGTGTCGGAAATATTTGATTTTTGATTTTAATACTCACCAAGGATGCATTTGACCAAAAAATACAGTAAAAACAGTAATATTATGAAATATTATTATAATTTAAAATAACCATTTTCTATTTTAATACATTTTAAAGTGCAATTTATTCCTGTGATGGTAAAGCTGAATTTTCTGCATAATTACTGCAGTCTTCAGTGTCACATGATCCTTCAGAAATCATTCGAATATGCTGATTGGATGTTCAAGAAACGTTTCTTATTGTTATCATCAATGTTGAAACTAGTTGTGTTGCCTAGTAATTTTCTGGAAACTGTGATTTTTGTTTTTTTTCAGGATTCTTAAAATATAGAAAAATAGAAAGTTTAAAAGCAGTGTTTATTTAAAAATTCAAATATTTTGTAATGGTAAATTATACCATTATAAATGCATGTAGTGTCACTTTTAATTAATGCATGCTTGGCTGATTAAAAGTATTAATTTCTTTAAAAAATAAATAAAAAAAAACACTGATTCCAAACTTTTGAAGCAGTGTGTATCTGATATTATGATAAATTCTAATAAAATGACATCACTTAGACATACCGATTTTAAAGTGAAAAAAGTGTGACGTTACATGTGGCCAAGTATGGTGACCCATACTTGGAATTAGTGCTCTGCATTTATCTCACACACACACAGCAGTGAACACACACACACACCGTGAACACACACCCGGAGCAGTGGGCAGCCATTTATGCTGCGGCGCCCGGGGAGCAGTTGGGGGTTTGGTGCCTTGCTCAAGGGCACCTCAGTCGTGGTATTGAAGGTGGGAGAGAGCGCTGTACATTCACTCCCCCCACCTACTCGAGTCTCGGTACGAGACTCGAACCCGCAACCTTTGGGTTATGAGACTCTCTAACCATTAGGCCACGACTTCCCCTAACCTAAAGCCATCCAGACAGGAAGTGATGCTATCTGTTAAGTGTGAGCAGTGATCCATGCTCGTAGAGGAGAGACAGGAGGACAGGCTCTCAGACAGACATCCAAGAGTCTGCTCCTGCAGCCAACTTGGACCACTACCTAGTGCACTGGTGCAGAAGAAAAAGATGATGCCAGTGTGTTGAACAGATAAATATATGTGCACAAAACCCCAAAAGTCAATATCTTCAAATGTGACCACGAAATGTGGGTACTTTTAACCTTGCTACAGCTCTCTTAAGTGGGTTCTTAGCTGGCAGTGTGGTAAAAAAGAAAGCTAGTGTGCTCAGGCAGGCCTGCAGTAAAGGACTCATAGGGGACTCATCCTTTCTCAACTGCTCCAACAGGAAACCTGCCTGCAGTCAACATACAAACCAACGAATTAAAAAGTGATTACATTCCGTATAATTCAGTGAAGATATATCAGATGTGATGCAGACCGACCTTAGAGATGAGCTGGATCTGCTCAACCGGATCGGAGGATGATAAACTGTTCCTTAGAACCTGAGCAGGCTCTGTGGATCTGCTATCCCCATCCACAGACAGGGAATCTGAGAGAAGGCATGAGATATTACAGGAAACTATATGCACAAGCACAAAAAGTTGATTTCGGTCACTCACCTGTCAGGCTCTTCTGCTTGACATCATGCAAAGCTACAGCCTCCACTTCAGGTGCTGTCTTCTTTACAACCATGACTAGACCTGAGACAAAACGCCAACTGCAGATGTGTGTCATAAATTAATTGTATAATTACTTCAAACGATCATACAACAACTGCAGAAGACCAACTTAAGGATGTTATGGCAGCTCTGGCTCAACCTAATGTGATACTAGTCCTAGTCACATTACTATTTCCTGCAGCTATTTACATTACATTCTCCTCCACACCGAACACGCCGTTTACCTACACATTCAAAACAGTCTGAGACATGAAAATATACTGCCACACCTTTGTAACAAAGCAGGAAGCGGTGAAAAAGGTCAATGCTACAAGTAGAAATAAGTATTTCCACAGCAACATAACATACATTCTGGAGTCGCGCTGGAAGCCCGCCCAGCACAAATATGATTGGTTCAGGCACAGCACTTCTGATGCGTGATTGGTCCACGAAAAGTCAATAATTCAGGACATCACCGTTTTATTAAAAAACCGTCCTAACCACACCTACAATGGTTTGATTGTGCGTGCTCGTAAAAACACGCCCCCGGTCCCGCCTACTTCCACAGGACGACGCTGGAGTGAAAACTTTGAGCTAGAAAACGGTCGCTCTTTATTTCATAATTAGGTCATTAGTGCAAAAACGACTGCGACGACACGGAATATTATTTTTATTATGGTGTTGAAAAGAGTGCCATCTTCAGCACTGTAACACAGATTCCCGGGTAAGGATAAAATCCTTAACTATTAACAAAAAAAGTATTGTTTATGTTTCTTGGCAAAGGGAATATAAGAGTAACTTACTTAAATATAAAGTTTATATCTCTAGTTATTAAAATAAGTGCTTTATTATGTGTTTAGATCAAAGCAGATTCTAAAATTATATATATATATATATATATGCACCCTGTTGATTACTTCAAAAGTTATTTTGAAAATGAAAGGCTTATTATTGAATACGTTTGAAATACACTATTAATAATTGATTTGATATAACTGAAATTCAGTTTGGTTCTGTATATTCTGTTCATTTTCAAGAACACAAATCTGTCGCTAGCTGCGGTAGATAGGTAGTTAACACATAATGTACCCATAGACCATTTTAATCTAAATATTTTAGGCTGAAATGTATATGTAATGCAGATAATGTTATGTTGAATCATTGTATGTTTGCTCTGCATTATGCAGTGAAACTGACAGATCTCCTTCTAGTCCTGAGATGGAGATTCATTCCTGGTCTCAACTGTACAATTCACAACATAAATGTTATATGTGTACCATATTGGAGACCTCTTAACTAAACATTTATTTATACGTTTAATGGTTATGAAGAGAGCATTTTAATCTCATACTGCAGTATATATTACCTTCCTGATCTTCTACTGTATGTACTTGTATACACTTCTAGATCTACACTTAATGACCCTGTTATTGGCTCACTTTCCCTAAATTTTCCTCATAAGGAGGTTGTTCCACTGTAAAACATGTTTTTATCCACATTGGTTAAGATTCAAACCCTCAGTCTTATTTACCAGAACAGCTTAATTGAGCTCAACACATGTTTACACTCTCTTTGTGCCCGTGCCAATGCTATAATGAGAGCTTATTATAACCAAGAGTTGTAGAGAAGTTGTAATGAAATGTGCTGTTGTGCTTTCCCCCACCTGCTTTACATCAGTTGACACATGTTTGTGATAATTAAAACTTTTATGATGGAAAAGTGTGATGATGGTGCATCAGTGCTGGCTGGTAGGGTTTGTTTTTATAGTGGTGCTCAGTTTGTCCAGGGCTCTGCCTGTGGCCCTCCGAGACCAATCATTTTCACTGCCTCTTTCTCCAACCAATACAGTTTCTTTCCAACTGATTAAAGTCAAAGTTTATCTCTGATATCAAGCATTAGGGCTGTGCGATATTGAAGAAAAATGCGATATGCGATAACTCATTAAATAATGCGATATTCGATATGCGATACGATAATGCTTAAAGTGCCACATGCTCAGATGAAACAGTTTTACTCAGCTGTTGCTGAGTCAGTTCTGTGAACTTCTATAACTATCTTGTGTCATATATATATATATATATATATATATGGTTATTTGTATGTATGTATGTATGTATGTATGTAACAAGAGTTCCTGTAAAACCACAACAAATTCCTTGTGTTTGCACACACTTAAGTGGTGAATAAAGCTCATTCTGATTCTGATTCTAATAAGAAAGCACCCCTACAATAACTTCTGAAAGTGAACGGTATGTGTTTTACTCGAGCATTAAATAAAAATGCCATTTTAACATTAGTGTAATCGTTTTAACATGAGTTTAGGAACTGAATAATAAAAAGGAAAAATATAAAAATGCTTAGAATTTACTCTTTGAATTCAGTATGCACTGATTCTTATTTAAGCTACAAAAGTTATTTAGGTAAGAGCAGTGAGTGATTTTCTCTTTGTCTTTTGTTCATGGCCCCAAATATTGCAAGCTGTAGCGATATGCATATTGTCATTGTACATTTGCGATATTTCGATAATTTTGATATATTGCACAGCCCTATCAAGCATCTATGAACATTTCATTTAATATCGACAGCTGGCATATACCTGTATTAATCAGATTTCTGTGCAAGTTGTGAAAAGTCAAGCTGTGGAAGAAGCACATTTTCTAGAAAGTTCTTTTGTCAAAATAACTCAGTTTTGCTATTCATGATGATGATTATTTTGATGTGCTTTCCCAGTCTGTATTTCATCATGGGTCAAGGTTGAATCACTCTTGAATTTTGTTTTGATATTGGTAATCAAATCACTGTTAATATTGCAACATTGTTGGCTGATGTGTAAGTATTTTAAGTACTTATTTGATGTAATTGAAGTACATTTTATAACCATTAGACGTCGTTTCAATGTTGTTTCAGGTTTGTTTGGTTTTTTTTCAGCGTTGAAACAACTGATATTGCTTTTGCAATGTTGAAGGTCAGTCACATGCTGACTTGTTTGTTTGGCCATTATGTTTCCAATTTCCATGAATCATTTCAAACGGAGTTTCTGTGAACTGATTGATATACCTGATTCAGCTATTCGTTTTCAGCATCACAAAAATCTTTTTACAGAAGTCCCTGTCTGACATTTTTCATATACTGCAATGTTTCAGTAAAAATGCATGTAGATAATTATGTGGATGCATGCTTAAATCATTTTTAAATGGATTTTTACTGCAGTTTAGTTCTTGCATTTAAACGTTTAGAATCTAAATGCTCAGACAGCATTGCAATGTTTGTTCTGATTTTGCAAATGGGATAAACATTCATTGATATTGCAATATTATTTTTACGTCTTTTCAACATAAGGAAATAAACATTAATTTGTAAGTAATTTGTTAACTTTTTATATAAGCATTAAGCATTGTTTCAACATTTTTCAATGTTAAACAACAACTGACATCTACTTTTCAATGTTAAAATGTGGCCGGTTGGTCAAAATGATGGTTCCTAGCAATTATAGAAATATCAAGATGTATATCAAATATCTTGAAGAGGCTGAAAAATATCAAGATATAATTGCTTTGCTATTTCACCCAGCCAGTCCTGCATCTGATTCATATTCAGTCTTATCTTCATTAGTTTATCGTCTTGAGTGGTCTTCTACTACAAGCTCTGTGTGTCCATCTGCTTGGGTCTCATGCTGTGTATGTGATGTGGCAGGGCCTGAGGGGTGACGGCATGGCGGAAGGCGATGAAAGCGCAGGTGGGACGTGGAAAGAGAAGTACATGGCCCTCGAGGCCCTGCTCTTCAAGTTCCGTGGACAGATGAGCGTGATCCGAGAGCTCACGGCAGAAAAGGTCAGTCAAACGCACTACGTCTCGGTCCCTGAATCACTCGGCCTGCTGTTTACAGTGGTGCTCTCAGACCTTTAAAAATCATTCAATCAGACCGTATGCTGAGCAAGTAAAACCTACCCTACCCCAGCCATCTTTTATTAAAGTAATAACAGAACAGGCATATGATTTGTCTGCAACTGTCACCACCCCACTAATTCCTGTCTGTATTTTTATTGCCGAGATACTCAATCGGAGGGAATTCTAGGAAAGGCAAAGAAGGCACCTATTAAAGTAGAGTGTGTGTGTGTATATGCGTGCCATGGCCTATTTCTTTGGCCTATCTCGAGGGAGAGCAGATTAGAGGTTAATATAAACACACGCTTGACCACAGGGCTCCAAACTGCTGCATTCTGGGAAAGCAGAATCTTCTTTGAATTACAGACTCGAGATGTATTCGGGTGCTTTAAATGTCTTGCCCTTGGGGAGAGGTCAAGTTTAGGAAATGTATATTCAGCTCAAGTGTTGTGATGATGCTCTTTCTTGAGCATTTTTAATGTTTGAGGTCCCAATGTATTTTGTCTCTTTTCTGACTGAATCTAATACAGTTTTAACTGCCTCATCTTTCAATAATGGCCTCTTTGGGAAACCTGAATCACATAACCAAATAAGCTGAACCAAATAAATGTTATGGACATGTAAATATGGGGGCCATGTTATTTTTATTTTATTATTTATATTTTATTTTTATTTAATTTAACTATTATTTTATTATCTCTTATCAGTGGTTCTCAACCAAGGGGCCTCAGAAAACTTACCATGCAGCCACATGATGACTCAAAGGTACCTAAATATAGGTACATCAATATTAATATATTAAAATAATAAAAGAAAGAAAGAAAACATAAAATGTTGTAAACTGCAATGAGATGTTTTTTCCCCCTCAATAACTTATATCATATTTTTCTTATTGAACAAATAAAAAAAAAATCTAATCAAATCAAATCACTTTTATTGTCACATCACCACAGCACATGTGCCTTGGTGAGTGAAATTCTTGGGAGCGTGCTCCAGACAGTGCAGAAACAATTACATATAGACATACTTACAGACTATACATACATATACATATACACACAGTGTACTATTAGACATACTTACAGTTAGCAATACACATTATAAACAGTAACACATTCTGCATTATGTACACATATATACACAAAATATGCGAAGGTGCAGCAGATTATACATGAACTGGATACGCAAAATGTCATGGGTGTGCATTGGATGGTATCCAGTGGTAGCAGATTATTGTATTAAGTGCAGTGTGTACATATAGTCCAGTATTGAACTGTGTTGGAGTTAAAGTGCAGTGTGTGGCATACCGTATATTGGGAGTATGCTGTAGGGTGTATTAGTTCTGACTGTTCATTAGTCTGATAGCCTGAGGGAAAAAGCTATCCCTCAGTTGGCTAGTGCGGGATCGGATGCTGCGGAGACGTCTTTCTGAGGGCAGCAGGGAGAGCAGTCTGTGGGACGGGTGGCTGGAATCACTGATGATCCTTCCTCCGGGCTTTCCTTGTACACTGCCTGGTGTAGATGTCTTGGAGAGGGAAACTCACCTCCAACAATGTGGCGGGCAGTTCGCACGACCCTTTGCAGAGCTTTGCGGTTGCCCGCAGTGCTGTTTCCAAACCAGGCAGTGATGCAGCCAGTCAGGATGCTCTCCACAGTGCAGGTGTAGAATGTTCTGAGGATGCTGGGGCTCATGCCAAACTTCCTCAGC